TTTTGCTCGTTCCCAATCCTAAATCCATAATTTTTAGCATCTAGATTAGATACTAATTTCAAACCAGATATATTAAAAGTCAGTTCTGATGTCTTCTTAGCTCAGCAAGGAAAAGTTATCCTTGATACTTATTTCCAGCAGCTGGATCTACTTCCTAGATATTTGCAATGAAGCTAGAATATCTGTGATAACTACAGTCTCAAAAAATATCCCTAGGGCTGCTTCTACATTACTACCCTAACATTACAGGTAGAGCATTCCACTGTTCCCAGATAGTATACCCAGATCTTTGTGCAAGTGGCTATGGTGAAGACTGGTAGAAATCAGTATGGATAGAAAGATAATGAAATTAGAAAGAGGTGGGCCTGATGGTGGTAGAAATGCTAAGAGCAAGATCAGGACAATCAACCAGGTCAAGTCAAGTCACCCAAATCTTCTGCTGATCAATGTTAGAAGGAAGTAAACCTAAAAGAGTCATCACATGCTTCCAATTAAACTTAAATCTACTTCCTTGTGGCGGTTCCTTGATGTTGTTGCTTCTGTTCTAATAAAAACCAGTTGTAGTTTCAAGGGCAAGAGACTTTGCCGCTGAACAAGATGATGTCACCCTTCCTGATTATAAACAGGAATGGGTGATCAGCTCGGAACACACTCGACTGAGGCATCTGCTTTTCTACAATGTTGCTCCCTGTGACAGCGGTGGCCTCTGTGCCCTCCTCGGTCACCTCTATGTAAGACTTGTGCATCAGTTTTGATACATACAGACGGCCTCCTGCAGCTATACCAGAGAGATCAGCTTTGGATTCATCAAAGATATCTCTCAGCCCTAGGGCTTCTAAGTAGTGCTTGATTTCATAATTCTTCTCTATCTTGAACTGAGGTAGAAACACTTCGACATACTGAGATTTCATTTTTCTTGGATTGGTCCAGTCCATTAGATTCTGAAAAGTCAGTTTGTTTTCAATCTGTAGAAATAGTTACAAGGCAACTTAGAATCATATGGTTAAGAAACAAATGAAACAATAGCTACAGAGGTATATGGTTTTCCCTAACAATTCTTTCCTGGATATTTGCTTGTAAGTATGTGAAAGGGTGCCAGGGGAGTCTGGAAATGGAAAATGATTAAAACAGATGGCTCAAGTACTCTTGAATGAATCATATGTTTAATTTGCTCTGCTATGACAAGGTGTGGTTTATTTGTATTGATATTTCAAGGCATTTCTGTTCTCTGACCACATATTAACATATATAGACCAAGTGGAACAGTGAGCAAGTGAAGGAATTTGGGAATCAGAGATCATGAGAGGGAGAAAGGAACTCAGCAGTCATTTGAATCAGTGTTTCCTGACTATTTCTGCCTCATGAAAGACATGGAAAATAACATTTGCACAACATGCAGGAGTAAACCAGTGGAACCCTGGGTAGCCAACAGCAAGGAGCTCAGAGCTTAGCCTCCGGAATTGTGCGATCAGCATCCCCCAGCGCAGGCGCCCACACTGGAAGATCTGGATACAAATTGACTCTCCTACTCCACACGTGTGACAACTGCAGCTCAAGACAATGTGGGGAGATGTGCCCAAGATGCACAGCTAGGACCGTTAGTGACATAGTGCACGCGTGTGTGTGTGCCCAGTCATGTCTGACTTTGCAGACACTTGGACTATAGCCCGCCAGGCTCCTCTGTCTATTCAATTCTCCAGGCAAGAACACTAGAGTGGGTGGCCATTTCCTTCTCCAGGGGATCTTCTGGACCCAGAAACCGAACCCATGTCTCCTTCTTGACAGGTGGATTCCTTACCACTGAGCCATCTGGGAAGCCCCTAGTGACAGAGTGAGGGGCCACATATATCTTTCCAAAACCACGGCCCCAAAGTGACTCACAAATTGAACTCACCACCTCCTTAACACTGAGAATTGATCATAGATTATTCCAGATTTATAACAGGAAAAGTTTTCATAGGAACATAGTTTACAAATCTTGGATTAATAAATGAACAAATAGGTAAGTGACTAATTCTAACAACCTGAAATCTTGAAGTTGATGAATAAGAACACAATCAAGGGTCCTAGATGTCTTCTTATTCCCCAGCAGTGAGAGCAACAGTGGTAACTTACTTGGGATAGGTCATTATCTGGCAGCATTATGTACATGCTTATACCACCATGATATCTGAGCTCAAGAACCTGCATGGATGGATCTTTAATGACAGACAAATTGAACTTCCGTTCTTGATGCATCATGGCCACTGCTTTCCCAGGACACTGAAAGTCAAGTCATTAAAAAAAAAAATTAAAGCCCGCCTTATTCCATTTATTGACCAAATACAATGAGAACAGTGCTGCAGGTTTTTCTTTCCGGTGGATTTTCCTCAACTTGCTGCCAGTGGTGGTCCTATTGGTCCACATCTTGAGTAAAACCACAGATTTTGAGAGTAACTACCTGAGCTTAAAACTCACCAACTGTGTGACCTTGGGAAAGTTACTTCACCTCTCTATGTCTCTACACCTCATCTCTGTAATGGAGGTAAACATAGTCTCTATTGCATAGGATTGTTGTAAAGGTTATGTGCCTTACTATAGCTAGCACTTGGAACATTGCCTTGCATTTAGTGTTTTATCTGAAAATGTCTATATCTTGTCATGAATAATTATTAAATAGCATTATAATTTCAAGTGATTGCTATAGATTTTTCTCTATAGAAGTAAAATACAGGCAAGTGTTATAAAAATTACAATTTAATAATGGGGTGTTGTAAAGCTTTTTTTTTAATTCCTGCGAAATATTTGACAAATTAACTTGAGGGAAACACTGTAGCTCTTATCTTTAGGATACCACTTCTAGATTTAGAAACATAATAGAGATATAATAAACTGTCTTTCCTAAAAGATATTGTGATTCTGCAAGTTTTTCAGTATTTGATTAAAATCTCCCTTTACAAAAGAAGATCCTACAGAGGAGGCTGGATAAATTTTACGCTTGAATCATGGGTTCTTCTTCCTCCAGAAGGGTTGTCCTTTTTGATCAAGAACCCAAACCCCAGAAAGAGCACGCATGAGGCAGTAAAGGAAAGAAGGCGCCTTCCTAGTGAGACAGGCAGGTGCCTTCCCCCTGACTCTGGAACCATGGGGGCTGAGCCACAAAGTCTCATTTCCAAGCTAGGGCAGGGACGATTCCCACAGCTGCGTTATGCTGGAGAAAGGTGGAAACCAGACTTCTTAACGAAGGGATGACTTCACCAATTTTGGATGGAACCAAAGCTGTCAAGTGATATAGATTCTACAGCATATTATATTATGAGTTACATATTAGAACTCTATTATAAGGGATATAGTCAGGAAGATCATTTTAAACAATGTTATTATACTTTATGTTAATACTTACAGATACTTTATTTGCACATACTCATATTTATTTAAATAAGCCATTATTTAGGAGCAAAATACAAACAAACAAAACCCCACAGATGATGCAGGAAAGAGTCAGGCTTCATTTTCATTTATGGAAATGAGTTAACAAATGCAGTCTACCAGAGGAGTTAACAAATGCAGTCTACCAGAGGAGTTGAAGGAAAGAGTAGGAAGTAAAAGCTCATTTCCAAATACCATTAACACTGTCAGCCTCCGTCATTAAAATTCTGTGTGTGTGCACTTGGTCATGTTCAACTCTTTGCAACCCCATGGACTGTAGTCCGCCAGGCTCCTCTGTCCATGGAATTTTCCAGGCAAGAATACTGGTGTGGATTGCCATGCTCTCCTCCAGGGGATCTTCCCTACCCAGGGATCAAACCTGAATCTCCTGCATCTCCTGCATTGGCAGGTGGATTCTTTACCACTAGCGCCACCTGGGAAGCCCCATTACAATTCTGGGACTGTCTAATACGCTTCGTCTTGTAATTACACAGCTAACATCTTTATCAGACAGAGTTATGGTTTACTAGTATTTATTAGGTTTCAGTTTTTTCACTTAGGATTTTCAAAATACTTCTATGCTCCTCTCTATGTTCTCATAGAGGCACCTACATTATAGACTTGCTCCTGAGTTGGGCTCTCCTTGGGACCCTGCAGTTAAGGGCACACAGCAGGGCTGGCTGCCCTCCATGCAGGTGCTAAAGGCCACCAAACTCCAAGTCCTCCTGGCGTCTGATCTACTCTGCTCAACTGCCCATCTCCTCACTCCTCAGTCATTTTTTATTTCCATGAGCTCTCTGCACTCCTGTGTCTAAAACTTCTGATATAGAAAGGTGCAGAAAGAACGTTTCAATAGCATTTTCCACTTAAAAATAAAACTATGTTTAAACATTAAATCTGAATTTCTATGCTTCAACATGAAAGACTGAGGATTGAAAGGAATTTGTTGTTGTTCAGTCACAAAGTCATGTCTAACTCTTTGTACGCCATGGAATGCAACACTCCAGGCTTCCCTGTCCTTCTTAATCTCCAGAGTTTGCTCAGATTTTTGTCCATTGAGTTGGTGATGATATCTAACCATCTCATCCTCTGTAATCCTCTTCTCCTGCGCTCAATCTTTCCCAGCATCAGGGTCTTTTCCAATGAGTCAGCTCTTCGCATCATCAGATGATGATGGAATAACTTGGTTTTACTTGTGAGAAAGACTATGGGTTTAAGGTTCATGTGCTAAGACAAGGTAACTCCTATGAAGCAAGGTAAGGACCTTAACATGGCATGTCTGACTACTAAGTCTTTGACGTTTCTACTTTACTAAGATTATTGTGTGAAAGTGAAAGTACTAGTCTCTCAGTCATGTCCAACTTTTTGTGACTCCCTGGACTGTAGCTCACCAGGCTCCTCTGTCCATGGGATTCTCCAGGCAGGAATACTGGAGTGGGTTACTGTGCCTTTCTCCAGGGGGTCTTCCCGACCCAGGGATTGAACCTAGGTCTCCTGCATTGCAGGTGGTTTCTTTATTCTGAGTCACTAGGAAAGCCCTGTGAAGGCATATTATTGGCAAAAACCTTCATAAATTAAACAGAATTCCATACCTTGGGGGATCTGAAATGGCAATTTTGGGTCTGGCTCTTGGTGAAGGCTGACTCCCACTTGCCTTTGAAGTACACAGCATTCACCAGCACCATCACAGCAGATGAGCTTATGGTACCTTCATGAAAGACATCCCTGATTTTGCCTTTTGAAAAGTAAATTGAGAAAAAAACGCAAATTTTAAAAAGCTAAAGACAAGATGAATATTTTTCTTATCATATAATTTAAATGATCATGATATTAGTAATAATCTGTGATCAATTACTTTGTCCAGCACTTTCCATGTGCAATGCTTTACGTCCAATATTTGGTTTAATTCTCACAAAATCCCTGTAGGGAAGGCACTATTATTATTTCTGTTGCCTATTGAGAAATCTAGGTCATAGAAAAGTAATTTGTACAAAGTCACATAAAACAGGATTCTGGCCCAAGAAGACAATTCTCAGAGACCTTCCCTACTCATAGACACACCAAACTGCCTTCATTTATTCCATCGATGAGGCCATAGCATTCCAAGTGTAGTTTAATGCCATTTCATTGAATGGGTTAATTCCTACATTCCATGTTCATGAGATTTTTGCTAAACGCCTTGCACTATTCTGGATACTGAACAGGATCCTATGGGGCCTTCCCTGGGCAGGCCTTCCCCCATACCCTCTCCTTTAGCTCCTCTCTGAAGTGCCTAGATAATAGTATTTGATACACATTTGCTGGTGGCACTAGTGGCAAAGAATTTGCCTGCCGATGTAAGAGAAGCAGGAGACTCAGGAATATAATGGGTTTCCCCAGTGACTCAGATGGTGAAGAATCTGCCAGCAATGCAGGAGATCTGGGTTCGGTCTCTGGGTCGGGAAGCTCCACTGGAGGAGGAAATGGCAACCCACTCCAGTATTCTTGCCTGGAGAATTCCATGGATAGAGGAGCCTGGTGGACTACCATCCATGGGGTCACAAAGAGTCAGACACAACTGAAGGGACTTAGCATGCCCACATTTCCTGAGTTGTCTTGCAGATGTAAAAAACCTCCCCTGTACCAAATGGAGGATGTTAACTGCCTAACACCAGAGCCCATAGCCTCAAGCCTCTTGGAGCCTAAGGACTGAGAACGTGAACCTCTGTGACACAACCCTGGTGCCTCAGCATTAGCCAGAGAATTCTTCACGAGCTGATCACAAACTCTGCAACTCCCCACCTCCCCTGGCTTTTAAAAATGCTTTGCTGAAACTCTTCCAGGAGCTCAGGGCTTTTTGGGTCCACCACAGGGACCACTTACTTGATCCTGCAGTAAACCTTTCTCTGCTTCCAAACTGACGGTTCAGTTTGTTTGGCTTCACTGTGTGTTGGCCTCATGAATGTGCATTAACAAGTCCAGTGCAGTGGGGGCACCACCTTAATGCAGTTGCAGCATCCTGGGGTCACAGCCCTGTGCTCAGTGTAGGGTGGAAACACAGTGTCTATGGCCAGGCCACCTGCTTGAGCTAAGGGCAAGGTGAGCGCCAGGGAGAATTTCCAAAAAGTTGGGACTCTTTATTCAAAACTTGGAAGCTTCGAAGAGCTAATTGTATTTGGGAAAATCCTAACTTATTCTGATTCAATAGGAAGAGTAAGATTGGAAAGGTTGGTGGCAGGAGCCAGATAATTGAGCTTGGAAAGTCTGATAAGAATTTTTTACTATCTTGAAGGTGATGGAAAAGCATTGTTCAAGATTCACTGAAACACAAAAAAGGGCATGGTCATGATGGATCAGATTTGCCTTTCTAAAGGATGACTCTGGCAGTGTGTGTAGTATTGAAGAGGGAGTGGAAGGTGGTGGGAGGAGGAGGAATAAAACCTAATAAGACCAAGGTAGGTTTATTGGAATATTGACATCATTTTGAAGTGTTCCTCTAAATAATTATTGAGTCCATGCCCTCATCACAGTGAGAATAATTATACATAGATTTGCGTGAGAAAGGAAGAAGGGAAAATAAATTACTGCTCCAAATAAAGAAAGGTAGTAGTAATCTGATATGCCAAAATACTTTAACACTAAATGGAAGGCAAGAGGAAAGGGGACAACAGAGGATGAGATGGTTGGATGGCATCACCAACTCAATGGACATGAATTTGAGCAAACTCCAGGAGATGGTGAAGGACAGGGAAGCCTGGCATGCTTTAGGGTTGCAAAGAGTCAGACACGACTGAGTGACTGAACAACATTACAAAAGTAATTGCATAGTTTTTTGATTTATGAAGAGTATATTTGAAATACATGGTAGCTAATGGTCAAATTAGTACTACTGAAGTAATGATGAATGAATGAGCAAAAGCAAAACTGAGCCACTGTATTCTTACTTTCTGGAATAATTATATGATTTTGTATGTTTGTACTTAAGGGTGCAAGTGACATGTCTCATATTTTTTAAATGGAACCAAACTCAGAAAATATATATATTGTTCAGAGTATAAATTAGGGCAATTTCTTAGGTAAAGAAATGACAAGCTTTGGAATCATTGACTAAGAAAACAATAAATAGATTTCTTTGTTTGGTACTAAACCAGACCATTAGCTGAATTTCATTTTTAGTTGGAAAGAGACTTGTCAATAAAGAAATATGCTTTTTTATGGAAGGAACCACCATTGCAGATATATAATTTTGATAAATGAAGAGTTTAAAATTAAATTTATTTTTTCAACAGAGTGTCATAAAAATCTATGTGTGTGTATGCTCAGTTGTGTCCAATTCTTTGAGACCCATGGACTATAGCCCACCAGGCTCTGCTGTTCATGGGATTTTCCTGGCAAGAATACTGGAGTGAGTTGCCATCTCCTCCTCCAGGGGATCTTCCCAACCCAGGGATCTAACCTGTGCCTCCTGCATTGGCAGGTGAATTCTTTACCATAGTGCCACCTGGGAATTCCCTGGACAAAACCTAGAGCAATTTTAAAATAACAGCAATCATTACTTCTGATAAGCAGGCACAGTTTCTCATATATACAAAAGACTCCCAACTTTAACACTGGGAGTTCTCAATAGTCACATATAACTGACAATCTTGCAGAAAAACAGGGCTTTGCACTCACCATGGGTCTCGTTTTCAATCCATTTGTTAATTTTATATCTGGTGTCTTCCACATCATTTGTAAAGTCAACTCTTTCCACTTTGGCATTATATAATTTCTTAGCACACTCAATATAGTCCTATAAATATAAATGATATACAGCTCTATAAGTAATAAACATAGTTCTTGTACTTACAAATCACCACCAACTAAGCACCACAAGAAATATACATTTGAAACTGTCCCCTCATTTCCACTACCTTACTCGAGGGCTACATCCTGCCTCAAAGGTGAAGGACTATGGCTGGGAGGGAGGACCAGAGAACTTGAAGCTGAATTTGCATAGAAGCACACTTGAAATGCGTTGAGACCAACACAGGTTATGGCTGAGACGCACCCCCTCAGCTTCACCGCTGCTTTCTCACCGTAAATATTTCAGGAGCCCCTACCTCTTGCCCCTTGCTTGTGTCATCCTCGTGCTACTGAAAAACTGTTCAAGAAACCCAGCAGATATCACCTCAATCAAGTGATCAAAGATAACACTGTCAGCAATAGGATTAATCAAAATCCTGCCAGAGGAGCAATAAGGATAATATGATGAAAATGAAACAACACCTGTGATGTTTTCTATCAAATCAGATGGAGGAGTGATCTAAAGAAATGGTGATAACCATTTTGCAACATATGTGTGTTAGCTGCTCAGTCGTGTCCAACTCTTTGCAACCCCATGGACTGTAGCCCGCCAGGCTCCTCTGTCCACGGGATTCTCCAGGCAAGAACACTGGAGTGAGTTGTCATTCCTTTCTCCAGGGGATCTTCCCGACCCAGGGATTGAACACCAGTCTTCCACACTGCAGGCAGATTCTTTACCGTCTGAGCACCAGGGAAGACTTTTATGACATATAAGAGTATCAGATCAACTTTTTGTACACCTTAGACTTACACAGTTTATATGTTAATTATGTCTCAATAGAGCTGGAAAAAATATGACTCTAATTATGAAGAAACATCAAACAGATTCACACTGAAGGACATTCTAAAATATAACTAGTCTAAAACTGGACATTATGAATAATCATTGAAAGTGTCAAGATCCTTAAAGTCAAAAAAAGGCTAGGAAACTGATCCAAATTGAAAGACACTAAAGATACATACCAACAAAGCACAATGCATGATTCTGAAGTAAACTATTTTGCTATGGGATGATGTAGTGATGATTGCTTAGACTCAAAAGGATCTAAAGATTAGCTGATAATGATATAACAGTGTGAATTTCCTGATCATGATGGTTGCACTGTGCTTACTTATGTAGGAGAATCTCATTGTTTGTAGGATTACACCAAAGACTTCAAATATGATTAGGGATCTCCAATGGTTCAGGAAAAAAAAATTTTCTTCTCTATAATACTTGCAACTTTTCTGTAAGTTTCAGATTATTTCAATATAGCCTTTCTTTTGAAAAGTAGAAGGAAGACCTAATAAGTCTTCTTCACTAAGGGACTGTGAAGCTTAGGGAAAAGGAGAAGACAAACTTGACCCAAATACTTGGTGGATAATTCACTGAGAGAGAACACAGAAGAAAAGTCAGAGGACAGAAGGGATGGCACATGAGAGTCTGGAGGTGCCCGTCTGGGGACTGGCAGGAGGCAGGCACAGCCACAGAGTGTGCAGAGGCAGGGAGAACAAGGCTAAAGAACCACACACTGTTTGAACACGCAATCTCTCCTTGGGTAAGAAAGTCAACTGAAAACGGAAGATGGCTGAGGACAGAAAGTTTAAAGAACACTAGTACTTTAGGGATGCCTGGAGGAACAAATATAAACAAAAGAGACTGAGATGAAATAAAGAGACTGAGTAGAAAACCAGGAGAAATCAATACCATAAAAACAATGAGAGGGGAGAGTTTCAGAGAACATCATTCATGTTGAATACTATGAAGAGGCAAATAAGATAAAAACTGCAAAGTGTTCATGGCTTGGGTGTCCACATGGAAGGCAGCAGTCAACTTCATAAAAAGGATTTCAGGGGAGCATTTAACTAAATAGAAGCCAGAGTGCAATGGATTGAGGAGTAAAAGGAGGGGTGGGGAATGGACTCCGAGAGTACATATAATTCTTTCATTAAGCTGGATTTTTCAAGTTTACATTTTCAGAGTGAGAAACAATAAGATGGGAAGGAGAATCATTAAGCAGCTTCTAAAGGAAAACTTTAGAAAAAAGGTTCCTTGTACATACATTTATATGCTATGAGAAAGAAGAAGGTAGTGTAGTGAAAGCCCAATAAAGAATACTGATGAAATGATAACACCAAGGAAGGGGGCAGGAGGCAAGAAAGCAGTGGAGGAATTGACCGTTTAGGAAAACTGTTCCCTCTGAAATTGATGGAAAGAGGGGGAAAGATCAGCAAATGGGTTGGGATATGAATCCTGCCTCTATTCTCTTTGTCAAGTAGAACACAAGAACTTGAATTGAAACTGATGGTGGTAGTAAGGGGTTGTTGGGAAACTGAGAGAAGTAGGAGAGTTTTCAAAAACTGCTGTCAGGAATGAAACACCAAAGCTGGCTGTTGGACACCACAGAGAACATCTGACTGGGACAGCAGGGAGACCGCCACGTCGCGGTGGTGGTGGTAACTGCACACGTCCAGGCTTCCCACACGCATTCTTTTGCAGCCCAGGCACAACTGTGAGTGAAGTCACAGCACTGATCCTGATTCAGGGCTTTGCTGGGAGGAGAGAATGGGGAAGGAATGGCCAAGAGTAGTTCAGTGCAGGAGTGAAGCTAGGCGGGGAGAGCTGGTTCGCTGAGAGAAAGTCAGGAGATCAGGAGAGTGAATGACTCTGTGCAGCTGCAGAACAGGTAGAGTGGGGATGGAAGAATGAGAGGCACGTGACCATGTGACTACGCTGGGAAACTGGAGTTGTAGACTTCAGGTCGCTGATGAGTTTCAGGGTGTGGCTCAGGTATCTATAATGGTGTAGAGAGAAGGTGAGGAAACTGTGGAAGCTGAATCATCCACAGGGACACTAAGTTTATTCAAAACAGTGGCAGAATCAGGTATGGAATAACATGTACAGTGGTCCTATCCAAGGCACATTTAGCAAGGATTGGGGGAGGAGGTAGAACATGGGATCAGAGATAGTGGTTGGGTCTTCTATAATACCATACTTTTCTGGGAAGACCCAGAGGGATCAGGTGGAGAGGGAAATGGGAGGGGGGACCGGGATGGGGAAAACATGTAAATCCATGGCTAATTCATTTCAATATATGACAAAAACCACTGCAATGTTTTAAAGTAATTAGCCTCCAACTAATAAAAATAAATGAAAAAAAATACCATACTTTTCACAGAGACTATTTACACAATATTATCTTTATCAATTCTAGTAGAATATGTATCCTTTTATTTGAACCCATACTCAAATGTGAGTTAAAAAGTGTTATAAGAAGAAATGTAAGAAGCTTGGAGATTATCTGTCTTTGTACTGATCTATCTGATTGAAATTTGCTGATAGGTATATTTAAATCAAAAGTAGTTTATAGAATAACTTATTATACTTATAAATGTTTAGGAGGAAAAAAACCGGCTGTCTTGTTTTCACTGTTCTTGATTAGATCTCACCTTTCCTGTGCTTCTGAGCACATTGCAAAGAGAGTCAGAAAAAGGAACCTGGAAACGAGCCACCATGAAGAGCACCATGATAGACACGTCAGCAGCCAGGCTGTGGCTGAGGGTTCCTCAGGAACACAGCAGCGTCCGTGCGCACTGAGACTCAAACTGCGGGCCGAGCCTCACGGTGGCTCCTGTGAAACTTGGGTGGGACAGCTTTGGGAGGATGAAAAGCAGAGTGACCTAACGTTTCGTAATTGACAAGTTGCCAGACAATTCGGGAGTGGTGCTGGAAAGGGCAAAGAATCTGAGTGGGTGACAGACAGACGAAGCATTCATGACCGGGCGGAACACAGAGAGCTGGAAAAGATGCAAGCGGAGACCAGCCCAGATGTGTCACGGGGTGGAGTTTTGTAGTTGTGTGAGACGTGGAGAATTAAAAGGGAGAACAGACTTCCCCCAGAGAATCGTGGCCACTGTGTCTACTTGAACTGTGCTACCAGCTTCTGGTTGTCATAGCAACGATGGGTCAGGCACACCAGGATGCAAGAGTGTGTTCTGGGACTTGCTCGTCTTTGAATGAGGAGAATTACATGATGAGTGAATTGGTAATTCAAACACCATGTAGTAGAACCAAAAATCAGGCTGCTGACCTCAAGTTATTCATCTCCTGTGTTGAGTCTTAGCTGCAATTCTACCATTGGCCAGTCTTATACGACTATGTCTCTTACCAAGAACTCTTTTATAAGTGTGTGCCACGTGCTCAGTCATGCCCAACTCTTTGCAACACCATGTCTGTACCCACCAGACTCCTCTGTCCATGGGATTAGGTAAGAAAATTGCAGTGGGTAGCCATTCCCTACTCCAGGGATCTTCCTGACCCATAGACTGAACCCATGTCTCCTGTGTCTGCTGCATTGCAAGTGGATCCCTTCCAAGCTGAGCAGTTGGGGAAGCCCCCTTTCATGAGTGACCTTGTTGAAAAGATAAGTAACTGGGAGGAGAGATGGAAGGGCATGGCTGAGAAAAAAAGGGAGGTGAGCTCAGCACTGGGGATGAAGAACTGTCCTAGAAGACGGAAAACTCAAAGGAAAGGTGGATAGACTTTTTCTCTACTGCCCATAGACAACCATAAACGCGTTGTCTGCTAACCCACCCCAATTCTAACTCCAGTGGACATGGCTGCCAGGGGACAAGCTCTCTCTGTCTTGGAGCATGTCAGTCTAGTGACCCTGAACATGTGACCATTCAGGTGAAGAAAAGTCGTGCTTTGGAAATACAGTGATAATATTGAGAAGCATCTGGGAACCTAATTAATAGTGGCAGGAAAAATAAATATCACCTTGGTATGGCCCCATGGAAAGCTACAAGCCTTTATTCAGATGATGAATTGAACAAGACTCAGGTTCATAACAGAAATAACCATCTAACATCCTGCACTTACCTTTCGAATATCAAATACTTTTTCTGCAAAAAGTCCATTGGCAATGCTGAGTTCATAATCCTTGTGGGATGTGTTTATATCAGACAGAACTCTTTTCAGTTGAGATTGGAGTCCTGGCTGCTGTTAAAAGGATTTATAAAAATTATTCTTGGGCTGCAAAGATATGTCTACTCTTTTTACACATGAAATAAAACATGTATAATATTATCATAAAAGAATGTAAAAGCAATGATGCTTATTAAAGCAGGAAACAGTGTCACATACATCTAAAATTTTTCACCCTTTCTCAAAATAGTGTCTGTGATCAAAGTTAATTAAAGGAGTTAGTGAAATAAATAAATAACCTTAAAATAAAACTATTAACAGAAGATAATGAATTTGTCTAATGCATGTACTAAATAATTCATTTTACCAATGTAAGTTGACTGTGAATATCAAAGGATAAAATGCAAACATTTAGTTCCACACTATCTTGCCAAATTTTAGCTAACACATAAGTGAAATATTGGCTTACTTGATAATTTACAAATAACTTATCAAAAATTGTATCTGGAATACCCACAATACAGAAATCTGAATGACACAGGATCCTTTGTTTTAAAGGGGAGAGAACATAGAAATATATTAGTGAGATGGGGATTTTTCTAAATTGATTCTTACAGTCTCTTTCTCTAGAAGAACATATTGTCTTTACCTGAGTATCAGCAGAGTTCCCATGTCTTGAGAAGGTATTAAAGTGAAGCACCTGTAAAGAGGCAGCAAGGAAAGCAGTCAGCAAGCAGTAGCAAACAAGAAGAGAACTAATAAAAAAAAGTGGAGATTTCACTGTTGGTGGTTGTATTTGTGTATTTGTTTGTTAGCACATAGGGCGGCAATGAACTGTGCAACTGTCCTATTGATGTGTTTAGAACAAGACTATTCATTGGGGAAAGCATCACAAACTGGGAGAATTCATAAATAAATGGCTACAAAGTGAAATATGTTTAATAGTTTTGGTTTGCTCATTCTTGGGGATCAATTTAATAATTACCCACTGATTAAACCTGAACCAGAATCAGAAATAGTCTCATAAAAAAATGAAAACTTTGTTTAATGAAACAGGAGGCAAGACTGGGGCTAACTACATACGCACCAAGACATAAAACCAAGTGATTTCCCTGGTGGTCCAGTGGCCAAGACTCTGTACCTCCAATGCCGGGAGTCCCAGGTTTGAGTCCCGATCAAGGAACTAGATCCCGGGTGCCACAACTAAGGCCTGGTGCCACCAATTAATAAATAATTTTTTTAAGACATAAAAGGGAAAACTAGTTACTGAGTATCTAGCAAATATTAAATAGGAAGAAAAATTGGGATTTGATAGATATAATTTTTGATCCTGCAATTATTTGAGAGGCTTCCCTGGTGGCTCAGTGGTAAAGAATCTTCCTGCCAACACAGGAGACATAAGAGACATGGGTTTGATCCCTGGGTTGGAAGATACCCTGGAGAAGGAAATGGCAACCCACTCCAATATTCTTGCTTGGGAAATCCCATGGACAGAAGAGCCTGGAAGGCTACAGTCCATGGAGTGACAAAGAGTTGGACATGACTGAGTGACTAAACAAACAAAAAATTACTTGAAATTGAGCAGTTTGGGGTTTTCCTTTTTCAGCACAGCTCTCAATAACCCCATTATTCTAATAATTGCTCCTATACCCATCTTGATTTCTTACTACACTTTATCTGTCTTTTTCCAGGCCCTCTGTCTCTGGGATCTGAAATGCAAAACAGTTCTATTAATAGGAAGTAGTAAAATGTACCATGCGTATGAGAATCACTCATGCAGCCGTCTGGAGCAGAGTGCATCCTGCCTCCTGGGCACGGATGGACAGTGACGGGAGTAGCGTTTATCTTATATTCCCCCAACCAGTCATCTGAAAAATCTAAACAACTGCCAGGCAATGGTGGGCTTGTTCTATTGTCTCAGTTTGTGACTCTTAGAATCTCATCGGTTGAATTTTCTGTAAAAAAATGTAGCTTTGCATTAAGGGACCTTTCAGGCTGTGTTTGTGTATGAGGAGTGGGAGTAGGGAGAAGGTTGGGAGGACTGTTCTGACGCAGGTAAAGAGACACATGTGGGGATTTAACTAAACCAATGTTGCTATCAGGGCCTCTGTGAGGGGTTTCTGCTTCAAAGCCTCAGACCCCTAATTCTAGCACCATCTTATTGGCTTGGGGAGAATGAAACAGCTCAGAAAGGGATATGAAAACTTATAAAGACTATTAGTTAGTATCATTGTTAGTCTTTAAATGCCACAAAGAATTGGAACCTAACCTCAATTTCTACCTCCTCTTAATCTAGGGTGATAATATGAGATGGAATGAGAGACAAGGCAAAGTCTACAAGGCAAATCTGATATATACATTCATTCTACTGTAAATTAAAAAAGCACAAATGGGGCCTTTGCAGACATCGAGGACTATGCCTGGAAGCCTGGGTGTCATTTTCCCCTAGTTCTAGGCAGTTGTGGAGCAGAAAGAGCATCAACACCCTTTCTAATCCTTCATTGCCTTCAAGGATATTGTGGTTACCTCTTCCCAGCTGATCAAGTTGACTAGAATATTCCAGGGTTCGTAATTTTGCCTCACAGTTTTGTGGTCAGTTTCATTGTGACTATGATTCATCAACAGAACACTGAAATTACTAATTTAAGGGACTTCCCTGACTGTCCAGTGGTTAAGATGCCCCCTTCCAATGCGGGAGCTGCAGATTCCATCCCTGGTCTGGAAACTACAATCCCACATGCCTCATGTGTGGCCAAAACACATAAAATAGAAGCAATATTGTAACACATTCAATAAAGGCTTTACAAAAGGTCCACATCAAGCAAAAAAAAAAAAATCTCAAAAAAAAAAAAAAGAAATTGCTAATTTGTCGCTAAGAAAGGAAGGTTCAACAAGGACCCTCCTTCCCATGGAGTTTATTTTGTAATCACAAGGAGAGGAAACAAAAGCATGAGTTTTATTACTTGGATTATGTTATTATAGGGCTTCCCTGGTGGCTCAGATGGTAACGAATCTGCCTGCAATGCAGGAGACCTGGGTTTGATCCCTGGGTTGGGAAGATCCCCTGGAGGAGGGAAAGGCCACCCACTCCAGTGTTCTTGCCTGGAAAATCTGATGTACAGAGGTGCCTGGTGGGCTACAGTCCATGGGGTCACCAAGAGTAGTTTTTTAAAATTCTTACTGATTTGTAACATTCATGTTAAAAGTTTACCCCTCAGTACCCCCAGAACTGAAAAAGGAAAAGTTGCAAAGAAAAGTCTGTATCGTCAGTCACCTCAGTACGAGATGGAGGGAAGCACTAACCAGCCTTTGTTCACTGAACTTGAACTTGGGCGGCCCCATTGCATATTTCCTTTCTAAAATAAGGCCTGGAAGTTGGAGGGTCCATTTCTGTCATCTTTGAGAAAGATTTAACCAAGAGAAGGCTGGTAAAACTCTGGAAGACATATTGATTGTTATGTAATGCCATCTTTAGTAAAATATATACGGCTTTGTGGAAAAACATTTTGAATGGTGTCTGCTCCTCTGAGTTCTAAACCTTTTCCTCACTACCTCATAAAAACAGCCTAGTAATTAACTTAATTAACTGAAGCTTAGCAAGGAGAAAGGAATCTTCCCTTCCTTTTGACCAAAATTTCTGTCAAACTAACTTTTTAAATTCCTGCAGCTGTTTTTAAAAAAAAAATTCCCCAAGATCACCACTAGATAGATCAGCTTTTTGAGAATATGTGGATGTACCAGAAACAGACTCACTTGCTTCTAAAACATTATGCATTTTAAATAATGAATGGAAATCTTTTTTATTAGTTGCTAGATTGATTTTTCCAAAGTCAATACCCATATTTATCAAAATATTGGCTTCAAGATAATTGAAGCTTTATGATAATGTACTTTGAGCTACCTTTCAGTTTGCTAACTTAGGGCAGACAGCTCTTCCTCTTGGGGATATTTGGTGGTGTCTAGGGACACTTTTTATTTTCATGATGGGGGAGAGGTGTGCTGATGATATCCAACAGGAAGGGGCAGGGGAGTGCTGCAAACCCTCCTACAAAGCACAGAACAGCCCCTCACAACAAAGAATTCTCTGACCCAGAAGGTCAGTAGAGCCAAGGTTGAAAAACTCTGCTTTAGAATAAGACCTTCCTGAGTTTACTAGCACAGAGATGGTGTGACAACCCCTGCATAAAACCGGGGAAATGATGTCAACTCCAGGGTTACTGTAAGCATCAAGTAAGATGCGTGGGGAACTTATCCCAGAGCCTGACCCTGATGGCGTTCCCAGCTGGCTGTTATCATTGCGTTAGCATGAGGTGCTCAGCGCACCAGCTTAGAAACCGCTCCAGCTCTAGGACAGCAGCGTTCTTAGACTCTGGTTATTCCCTAGCATCAGTCACTTGTGGAGCAGTCCAGAGAGTGAAACAAGTCTTTCCAGCTTCCGTGACTGCACAAATAACCTTCAACACGTACTTAAGCATGAAAGGTTACAGCAGGGATCCATTCCCTCTTGCACTGGTTTATGAACTAAAATAATGGGAGGAATTGGTGGGCAGAAGGTTGGGTATCGAAGTTTCAACATGCAGCTCGGCCCTGGTATCTCACCTGCTGCTGACCCACTGAATTTCGATGGCAACTTTCCGAGAGGAGGGAGAGAAACCATGACCTTTCCGCCTCCCTGTGGTCTCGCTCAGGGTAGTGGACAGGAATGAGTTAATGAGCTGTTTCTAAATGTGGTGGGGAAGGTGATACTGGCGACAGTGTGACAAGCATCCTAGTGGGCTGCCATCATCCAGACTGTACTAGTATGTCATTTGTGGGCAGGTCACCAGGGCCTAAGCTAGGACTTCACTGGCATTACTTTCTGGCTCTTCCTTCTCATCCATATTACTCAGGTATGCGAGCGTACTCAGTCACTTGGTCCTGTCTGACTCCTTGCAACCCCATGGACTGTAGCCCACCAGGCTCCTCTGTCCATGGGATTTTCCAGGCAAGAACACTGGAGTGGGTTGCCATTCCCTTCTCCAGGGGATCTTCCCAACCCAGGGATTAACCCAGGTCTCTTGGGTCTCCTGCATTGGCAGCAGCTTCTTTACCACTGAGACACCATCACTCAGGCTGAGGCTCTCTACTTCCGTATGCACCTGGAATGTCCATCAGAGCTCAAATGCTGGGCCCCATCCCCACAGTTTCTGATTCAGTAGGTCTGAGTTGGAGCCAAAGATTTTGAATTCCTACTGATGTCTCCAGGTGAAGCTGGCATGGGAAACACACTTCAAGACCCACACTAAGGCACAGGATCAAAGCTGCAGTTCTGGAAATGTTCCAGCTTAAAGAGCACAGGTTGCAAGCTGCGTTATTTCCTCCCCCTGGACGGGATCCACTGAGAGCTCTTCCTTTACATGAGACCATGGCAGCGCAATATTCTCTTGGGAAAAACAGTTCGCCATGATGATCGATTACAAAAGTCATGGTTGGTGATGCAATCAAGACTGACCTTATCAATCTGAGAAGCACAGTCACCCCTTGCACCCAAACGAACCAGGGCCAGGGCAGTGAAGAGGCTCAGAGAGGAAAAGAACACATTTTCACTTCCTTGATTGCTGTCCATCTCTCTGAACAGGTTGAAGCAAAAGTCTGCGTCTGCGGCAGCGAGGAAGGCCATGGTGAAATGGAGTACAGGCTAGAGAGGGAGAAAAGAAAGAACTCCAAGTACGTTTTCTGTGGATATTAAGGAGTTTCTTTTTTCAATTAGAGTATAATCACCTTACAAAGTTGTGTTAGTTTCCACTGTACAATAATGTGCATGCTAAGTCATTTCAGTCATGTCTGACTCTTTGCGACCCCATGGACTGTAGCCTGCCAGGCTCTGTGCATGGGATTCTCCAGGCAAGAATACTGGAGTGGGTTGCCATGCCCTCCTGCAGGGGAGCTTCCTGACCCAGGGATCAAACCTGCATCTCTTATGTCTCCTGCATTGGCAGGGGAGTTCTTAACCACTAGCGCCACCTGGGAAGCCCTGAACCTGTTGTAGGCACACATATATCCCGTCTCTCCTGAGTCTCCTTCCCACCCACCCTGTTCCACCCCTCCAGGTTATCACCAGACACCAAGCTGAGCTCCCGTGCTGTCCAGGAGCCTCCCACTAGCTGTCTGTTTTACACACAGTTGTCTACATATGATTTTTATATTCTTTAATTTTTTAAATCTGAGGCTTCATTCTTCAACCTTGGATGTAACTATCAAATAACTCACAACACAAAGAAAAATTTCTTTTGGCCAAGTATTCTTGCTATCAAAGCTCTAAGACTCTCTTCTGGCAACAATATTATGGTATCTTTTTAAAAAAACATTGCTCTTCTTTAGCACGATGTTTCCATATTTCTGCCTGTGCCCTCATACCCACATCCAGGGCAGAGTCTCACTATTCCTGGAGGTGGAATTTCCAGCTTCAGTGATCTTTGATAATTCTGTTTTGAGTCCCAAGCAAACACATTTATGGGGCCTGCTATTTCTCACATCTCCAGATTCCTAAGCTGAAACAGAGCAGAAATGCTGTTGTTGCTGTTGTTATTTAGTCACTAAGTCGTATATGACTCTCTGTGAACCCCTGGGCTGTAGCCTGCCAGTCTTCTCTGTCCATGTGATTTCCCAGGCAAGAACACTGGAGTGGGCTACCGTTTCCTTCTCTGGGAGATATTCCCAACCCAGGGTTGGAACCCTCGTCTCCTGCATTGGCGGGCATGATTTTTGCCGCTGAGCTGCCGTGGAAGCCCCAGAAGTGTTGTTACAGTAAAACAAATTTTACATTAGACAGTCTATTCAAGGGACTATATTTCAGGAAGAAAAATTATGTGTTACATTCTCTCTCTTCAAATAATTTTCAAGACTTCATGTTGGTTGCCAAAAAATCATAGTATTGAAATGAAATTAGTCACTCTTAGGAAAGTAACTTCAAAAGCAAAACCATAATAATTCTTTCTAAATATTTACAGAAGAAATTACATTTAATAAAGCATTGTAGGCACATTGACATATTTATACAAACCCTCTTGGGGGACCTAACTGAGTGGTCCACTGGGGGTCTGAAAGCTATTTGGTAGTTTCATAATCCAAAATACAAAAACACACTCTTCAGTACATTTTTCCTCAATCAAGTCCCAACTGTTCTTGTTGTTTTATAAATGCAACTTTTACTATTTTACCCCCGGGTGGGAAAGAGACATTTCATGTTTTTAAAAATTATTCTTTAAATCACTTTCTAAAAAAGCAATAATCACAAAATTTTATTTTCTAATTTTTTAGTCATCCTCTCGACTTTTCACAAAACTGTTGTCGTATTGAAGAGAAGAGAAGCTACACAGGAATGTGTTCATTTAAACAATTAAGTACATATTTTTAAGGCTTAGGTAAAGTCTATGGCAGAGAAACCATACTAGATAAATAATCATTACAGAGAAACATCAGCCAAGAACTTCTTGGATCTAGTCATTCTCAAGCAATAGCTTTTAAAATGATAAACTGCTCTAGGTAATACACAGTTACATGTTCTCGTACAGACATGTTCGACTCTATGAAATAAATGCCAAGAAGCACGCGCGGCTGCACACCGCCGCGTTTGGGTTTCTTCTCTATGCAAGTGCTGTGTAGTTTCCAGAAATGAAAGTAAGTTTCATCCTCTCACCTGAGACAAAGACTGAATCACACTGGCACATAAGTACCAATATATATGGCTGAATTACTTGTTTTTCAACCTAAATTTCTGTCAGATGACATAGAATTAATATTAGAAAATTAACATGCTACCAAAACTGATTTTCTTTCTCTTATAATTTCTTCTTCCAGCAACTTAAAAAAAAAATTAAACACACAAAAAAATAATTAAATGTCAACAAGCCATCAGCAAATGCCCAATGATTTGGGTCCCAGTTAAATAACTAAACTGAAGAGGAAAATTAATTACATCAAGCTACAGAAGAAGGTACCAGCATGGTGCTCCCCAGTATGCCACTATGCAGATACAGCAACGAAGGAAAATTCTTTTTAAATCATACAGAAGCTTAACTTAAATTAATCTTTTATTTCACTAAAACTGCAAAAGCACTTATAGAAACAATACACAGATATGGAATTAATTTATAATTTTCAAGCTAGCATGAATCAAATACTTATGAAGGCTTTAAATCCTAAACAGCAGACTCAAGGATGTCAGGGCCCAGGAAGACTGAAGCCTGCCTACTCGCTCACGGCGCGTTTCAACTTGAGAGATGTTTATTCCTTGCTTTCTTTTGCTAGCATACTTTCTGTGTCAAAACAGAAAGAAAAGATATGTTCTCAGTGAAGCTTTCTAAAAGTCTAATTAAAAAGTAAGAAAATGAATTTTAACGCATGAGAAAAACCAGGGACAAATACTTTCAGTAAAACATGAAATTATACTGAAAATATTTCATGGATCTAAGTGTATTATACCAAATTGATAAACTGTGTGTCTTATTGTTTGATCAAAATATTGTTTCTTCTTAAGATAATTCTTTCTGCACAAGAAAAAGTAATCTTGTTTCATGGTACATTACTGAGGGGAAAAAAAGCCTCCTGTTTTTACTGAACTAAATGCACATAGAGGAAAAAATTGTAACTACAGTTGAACAGACTTAATTTTTACTCTTATCATGTAAGTCAAATGTAATACATTCAAATCTTTCCATTTTTTTAAAAAACATAGTTTAAAATTTTGATAAATTCCTAATCAAATAAGTAGAGAGATACAATTAAAACAGAATTTAATTCTAATGTCAAGAATGTGTATACTCCAACATATAATTCCTTAAATAAGAACATCAGAAATATAGACTTCTAGACTTGTCCATAATTCCCTGATCCTATTTCTCTTCTCCAGGATGGAACATGATGTGTCGGGTGGTCTTGGATGCCCTCTGAGTGACAGGCGCCCCCGTCCTCATTGCCCCAGGGTAAGCGGCTGCAAACCAGCCCCGAGACAGAGGAGCCGGGAGAGGGGCGGACCCAGGGCCACGCTGAGGAAGGATCCTCAGTGCAGAGACGCACTCACTGCCCTCTGCCCCCAGCCCCACTGCTGTCTCTGTCTCTGTGCGTGTCTCTCCCTGTGTGTCTCTCTGTCTCTCTCTCTGTCTCTGTCTCTCTGTCTCTCTCTCTCGTAAGCTGTCTGGCCAGACTTTAAGTTCTGAGCTTTGGAAATATTTACCTTACTCTCTTCATAGAGGAAGTTAGCTGCTGGTTGGATGAGTATGAGAGAGTTGCTTGCATTACTCTGAAATATAAAGCCTCTGACTCAGACACTCCCTACTTCTTTTTGTAATGACCATGATAATTTTAAATAATGTGATTAAAATAGAGTTATGTTCAGGCCCTTTATAATGCAAATTCAAAGAAGTGTGCAGAGTGTTAGCTACAGACTTGATTCAAAACAGTCAAAGCAGATATTTTCTAATGAATCCAAGCTAAGCATGGAATTTTATTTAGTTTGATACGAGCCCCCACAGTCTTTTCATATGGTATATGGCGGCACGAACGGCATTGTGGGCATGGAATGGTATCCTTGTCAGACTCACTCACTGATCCGTGCTGTTTGTTCAGTTCCTCCCCTTCGAGGAGCCGAGTTCCCTGTGTGTGTGAAACTGTCGTGAGGAGCAGCAGCAGGCAGTCCAGAGAAGAGAAGAGAGCAAGTTACTGGAGGGCAGAGAGAGTGGGACAGAGACGTCGCTCTGGCCGGGGCCGAGGGTTGCTGTGCTCCGGGGAGGTAGGTGAGTGGGCCCTTTCAGAAGGAAGAGTGTTTCATAGGGACTTTTGTTTTTGGTTTTTTTCGGGTTTTTTTGGCTATGAACAATTTTTCATTTTTCAAGTCTTTATTGGACTTGTTACAATATTGCTTCTAGTACATGTTTTGGTTTCTTTGGCCACCAGGCCTGTGACATCTTAGCTCCCCGACCAGGGAATGAAGCCACAGCCCTTTACTGGAAGGCGAAATCTTAACCCCGGAATTCCGGGGGAGTCCCCATAGTGTTTCGGACCTTGCCTTACACATTATTTATACATTTTTAACCCCCCCCCCAGCCTCATCTTCAGTGTATGTTTTCATTCTAAAATGGAATATCTTGATCGTTTGAAGTCTCCTCAGATGAATATCCTCTCAGAGGGACAGATGTGTTTGAGCATACTGAACAAGATGTTGAGTATCTGCCTCCATCATAAGAGGAATATGTTAGTGATGAGAGCATTAAAACAAAAAGAAAAAAGTAAGATGATTAACTCCAGAGAAGATTGCACAGGGAAATGTGTATCATACTACACTTTATAGCTGGGCTGTGAATAATATTCTCTTAGTTGTAATGATTTCAATAGACTTCCTTGGTGGCTCAGCAGCAAAGAATCTGCCTGCCACTGCAGGAGGCGCAAGTTCAATCCCTGCTTAAGGAAGATCCCCTGGAAAAGGAAATGGCAACCTGCTCCAATATTCTTACCTGGGAAATTCCATGGACAGAGGAGCCTGGTGAGCCATAGTCCATGGGGTCTCAAAGAGTTAGACATGACTTAGTGACTAAACAACAACAGTGATTTCAATATTGAGTATTGAGCAAAACAACATTGAGGGTGTATTGATACCGAAGCCATATTAGAAGGAGGTGGTAG